GACCGATATGTACATCTGATAAAATTTAAGAAAAGACAACACCTCGCCCAAAATTGAAAAACAAATGGCATGAAACATCACCAAATGGAATCATATTTGAGTTTTAAGTTCGTAAATCTTTTACACCTGAAGATGGTTTTATAAAAACTGAAACATGTTGTGTAAAGGATGTTTCAAAATGTAAATCGATCAATCGATATGGAACATCAATGATATTTTATTATCTTAATTATAAGAAATTTTAAATATTGTGATAAGACGGATTAAAATAAATAATTGTTAGGATGTGACATGGCTGAGGTACAACCTATTCATCCTTTTACATTTCCCTGCACATTTCAAAGAATATTTTGGCAATAATAGTCTTTTTCAGAAATTGGTATGTTAAAGTAGATTTGTTGTTAATTACCTATCTAAAGAGTTTAAACTTTTATTGCATTCATATGAGTTAACTGCTTCTGCTTTGAATCAAGTGTGTGTGTAGAAGAGAAAGTATTTGTTTTGTGTTAAATGAGTAACTAGATGTATATTCATGTGCCCACATCTTACAGTGAAAATTTTTAAATGTAAAACATAACCTTTCTAAGTCTTAAATCATCACTTATGTTGGGTGACTAATATTCCCTTATGGAGGACTGTTTATAATAAATGGTAATTATAGTTATGTTGGGGAAAAGTGCTGTGCATATTTTGCAATGTGATTGTAATTGATTGTCATTCATTACTAGAAGAATAGAAATTAAGAATGAACTAATACAGAAATTCCCCCAGTACTGGGAGCAATAAATAACATCAAAAGTCTAAAGTGACAGAAACATTAAAAATAATAAAATTTTGCCTGGAATGGGTGGACTAAATTTGTTTGGCTGAAGATAGTGATGGGTTAAAATGTAAACTACTGATGCCTCCTTGACATGCCTCAAGGAGTCAGAATTACTGTAAAGCTTGCACTTGTACTTGTACTTTGTCTTTTTTGTTAACCGTGATTATATGATTGTAACATTCTGTTTCTTACCTGTCTTAGGGTCGACTTGTGGTGGAAACACGAAACATTTTAATAATGTGGATTCAACATCATTTACATCTGAACATGTTGCCCCTGCTGATGCGGATGCAACCACCATCACTCGTTACATCCACATAAAACACTCTGACTCACCTGTGCGAATATTCAAAGAGACGACTGTTTAGCTAAAACCAGAAGCACACTTTAAACTGACATCAATGCATTTATTTATTTAATTATTTATTTGTTCAGTGATTTATTTGTACCTTGACCTCAAACATTGCAGTATTCCTTTTAGATTATGGTATTTATTAACATTTAAAGACTTCAATTCAGGTATTTTTTTAATTGCGTTGATACACATTTGTATTATGCTATTAAGTTATACACAGTAAAACCTATCAAATGGACCAGGATTGAATTGCTAGGTGTTTGATCCCTGGTGAGTATGTTAGGAATTTATTCTTCACCATTATGTCTGGAATGGTTCTGAGGTCCATTCAGTGGATTTCAATGTCACTTTTCCCAGGAATTAACTCAACAATATTAATCTGACAACTTGCCTTCCTCTAGTGCTGTGGGAAAAATTTCACCCCAGCTTCTGACTTTTAATGGTATAGTGTTAACTTTACCTTTAGCTATTTATATTATAACATTCTGAATAGCAAGAAGAGTATGGGTTCTTCCGTAATATATCTGAACTGTGCTAACAAAACTACTGGCAGTCCCTTAACACTGAATTACCTGACCATGTCTCCATGACAGTTTATTTTCTTCTATGTATAGTCATTCTAGTTTTTATACGGATAAACTCAGATCAGTCAGTCAGGAAACAGTCTGGCTGTAAGTTGAACAACTGGAGGTATAGTCTTTTTCCCCACTTAATTTATAAATTTTGTGAACACATACTTATATTTCAGTGATAGTAGTAGGATGTTTTGAAATTCCAAGCTGCATTAGTTAGCATCATATGTTTACATGTAGAATTCAGCACCAGACCTAAGGTTGGTTCATGTTATCAGTGCTGTAAGTAGGATCATTGAATTTTGTGATGTTTTGCTTCAAGTGTTTTAGATTCAGTTTCTTAATAGAGTTCAATGTGTACTTATAACCCTCGTAAATAGCTGTAGTTGCCCTTGCTGTCACTTGGCCAACAGTTTTTTAAAAACTTTTAATTTTTACAGAAAAACAAAATCATAATTCCACTATTACCTGTCATTTGTAGAAGTTGTGCAACATATATGTTTAAATAATACAGTTTAAAATTAGTTTATGGTTGGCAGATGGTATACAGTGAGTGTCTAATTCTCTGAGACACTTAGCTACCTATTTCTATTTTGCTTCTCTAACTAGCTGCTGATTGATGTGTATGAGGGTTATTAAAAACCTTTATATCTGTGGGTCTGATAGTTTTATGTAGATTGTTCATTACATGTATAATTGTCATCAGTTAACCTTTAACATACAATCATAAATCTCTCATATAGGAAAACATAATGTCACTTAAAGGTGAGGGACAAACATACATAAGTTAGAGATCTGTGTTCGAAATATCAGATTGTAAGTTAAAGTGTAGCATAGAAATGTCGTAACTAATGTCAGTGTTTGTTTTGAATGAACATGATTTGTTACATTTTAATCTTAATTATCTTTTCAGTACTTATTGTGAGCAAAAGAAATAGTGGTTGTTCCAGATACAAATGAAAAGTTCAGTTCTTGAGTAACAATTGTTAGAAAGGGCTGTATAAGCCAAAAACCAAACTAGTTTAGGAAGTAGTAGTATTAATATGAATTACATCATTAAGTTTAGTTGATATGAAAATTGAACCAGCTGTCATTAGCAGACTTATTAATATACTGATGTCTGGCCCTAAATACCTATTGTATTGAAAAGTGTTCTTATTTATACAGTAATTATTTGAAACTTGAATGTAGTACTGTTAACCTTCTACTGGTATGGTGGTAAAATATGTTGTAACTGTTATGCTTGCTTCTGAGATACTGGCTTATATTTTTCTGTTAATTTTAATTTGCTTCTCAATTTCTAATTATCGATTTTGAAATTTGTCCACATAGCTGTATTGTTAGTAATGCCCTCAAAAATAAAACATCACAGTTTCATTGCTAAGGGTGTAATCCTGGAAGTTGTATGGTTATGTTATGCTGTCTATTGATATCCATTTGTCATTGATATTAGATTTTATCTTCACTGCCACCTTCTACAGCTTCATCACTTTCAGAGATACTACATTCAAGATTTGAACTATGGTCACTATCAGTTTCAAAGTTAGGATCTTCAATTATGACAGTTTATTCTTTCTTTTCTCTTTTAATGACCATACTTTTGTCTGACATTTCTTGTGCCTGTTAGTCAAAGTTAGGATTGTAAAAAAACAAAAACATCTTGGACTCTTTTCCTTTATCAGTTGAGTTGACTAGAAAGAATATACTGGTAACACTAAAAGGAATTAAGATTTCATGAATTCTTCTAACTGTTGCTATTTTAGAGTGCATTCTGAGGGACACTGTATGGACTTTGAACTTTAAAAACAAATTAGCACAGACTGCAAAATTAATGGCACATTGTAGGAGGAAGGTGAGTGACTAGCAAAGAGAGCTGAGGGTACAGTCTCTCAGGCTCTACCATACAAGGTAAAGGCTCCTAGGCATTCAAGAAATCTGGAATTTTTTGAGTGGCTGTACATTATTAATTTTTATTAAATTATGTATTTAATAATTAATTTTTGGCCTTCAGTTGATATATGAAATATAGGTTATGTGGAGAATGCACATGGCTCCCTTTTACACAATACATTGAAATTGGAATTTTAATTCTTATATGATTAAAGATGTTGAAACCCTTGAATATTCTTATATAGGTTTATCGTTATGATTATGGTATATTGTTTTCTGCTGTCTGTGTATCATAGTATGTGTAACAGTATAAGTATGCAAAATTTATGCTTACTTTTCACAAATTAATATTTCTGTCAATAAGGTGGAATAATGAGAATAACGCGGGTAAAAAAGATAGTGCTATGTCAACATTCAGAAATTTTCTGTTCCAGGTATGAAGTGCTGTAAAGTGTAAAGGTCTCTTTTAAAATTTAGCAAAAACTATTCTACATATTCTATATTTATGAAATTTTATTTTCTGTTACTATAAAGTATTGAAAAAACAACTATGGGAGGATGCAAGGGTAACTGCCTGCTAATTCCATTTGGACTTGCAATGTCATTCAATAATTAAGCTATACCATCAAAATTATTTTTATAGAAACATTTTTTTAATGAAGGAACACTTGCTGACATGTAGGTAATTATATATAGGCCTGTATCTTCAGCTATAATTTGAAATTGGAAAATCACAGCAAGAAATGTGCTTCTGCTAACTTTGCACAGCAATTATGGATATTTTTATCAGCGTTGAATTACAATGTTATGTATTACAAAACTTCAGAGCAATTGTGCCCCAACCAAAAACATGTCACTTTTGTTTTATTATTATGATTGAATTAAGTGTGTAAACAGAGTTCTGTAAGACTGAGACCACAGTGTTACTTAAATTTTTATAAATAATAATACATATATCTTTTTTTATATATACCACAGTTGGAGCAGTGGTGTAATGTTCAGTTCAGTGCTAAACAGATGAGCTGCTCTGATAACATCATTTATATTGACATGTGTGGTATACTATATTATTCAGTGTCAAAATGCAGAGAGAAAACACTAGTTTTTTCAGTAACAGAACTAGAATTAATGGTCATTAAAGATCTATAAAAATACTAATCACATCAACTGAGTACAAAGTGAGGTTAAGTCGTCATATTCAAATTAAACTTGGAATTCTAAGGATAAAACAAAAAATCATTTTATTGTTTGTATATTTACACCTGAAGTAATGCCATTTATAACAACTGTAACATTGACATTTATACATCCGTATTTCTTAGTTTTAAGCAGATTTTCAGAGGGACTTTTATTAGAGAGTTAAATAATTTTACTTTTTTTTAAAATTAAAGATTAATTTCATGTCAAGGAATTTTTTACTTGTATGTTTTTTAGATTAGCATGTAACCTGCTTATCACCAAATTCCTTTGGAAAAATGCTAGTAAACCACTTCATGTTGAATCCATGCATATACTACTTTCCTATTTCATACTGCATTTAACTGTATTGCTGCTTAACCCTCAGGAGCTTACACTCTATATAGAATACTTATTCTCAACACAATATTATAGTGCATCCTGGCACTTCATTCAGGTTTGCTTCTGATGTTTGGACAGTTTTAATTAATTATATATATCAGGGCGATGAAGGAGGCAGCAAGGACCTCTGAAACATCGGTAAACTTCTACCAGACTACATGGTGAAACAACCCAGAAGACAGTCATATTGATTACCCTCATTACAAATTATAAACAGAACTTTGTTAAGTAATATAGTAATAAATAAATAGAAATATCAGAGTCTAATAGCACAACCAAACCCCAACAACTGATTGAGATTTCAGGTTCTCATGACCTTACTGAAAGTGTTTTTGTGTGGATCCTGCTTTTGGGTGCTGGCACCTTATAGAAGTTGGTTAATTACTGATGTTCCAAAGGACTAAAATATCTACAAGATCAGGGCTGAGGTGACGAATGTCAGGACGTGGGCATCTGGATACAAGATGGATCAGATCAGGGGTGAATAAGAGCCTGATTAAGTATGATTTCCCCAAATTCATTGAGTTTTATTTAAACATTACAGAACATGAGTATCTTATTTATTTAGTTGTCCCTATAACTTTAACTGAAGGCATTTATATAAAACCTCTTTTATTTTTTAATAAAAGGTGGCTGTACTTTGAGTTCATATTCGACAACTCTAATTTTGAAGATGTGTATTATACTTTGATGAAAAAATGCTGGTTCTGCCTACTGGTGTGTACAGCATAGGAAAAGGAACTGCTATAAAAATCTATCTTTCCTGAATCAGAATCGTTGAACAGACCGATTGAAAGTAATACCGTATATTTATCACGCCCAGAAGACAATCAGCTTCAAAATCATCGCCGTGAAAATCCCAAATCCTACACCGATGTTAGTTGCGCTAATCGCTTTGGCAGGCAGGTGCAATATATATTTAGGAATCTCTAAATCTATGCTAGTAGTGGATACTGATAGCCTTTGGTCAAATATTAATAGCGGCTGTAGGTTATGTCTGTCTTTAATCGATGGTGTTCGGCACTGAAGACTTTCTCGCTTTCTGTGAGTTTTACAATCTGTGATTTGAAAGGACCCGCTATAATTTGTTAGGTAATGAATGTGTGCGAAGTTAAAATACGTGTGGTTCGTGTTTTATTGTTTTCATGTTACTGTTGTTGGTAATGAACATACATCATTTGTAGTGTGTAATCAGCATTTTAGAGAGTGTATGGTAATAGAAGTGCAGAGCACTTTGCAGTTTTAACTCCCGTGTTTATTATTTTTATTCTACGGTTTTTGTAAAGAGGTGCCGCAGTAAACATCGGTTTTCCCATTTCTGCAGTTTCAAAACTCAGCTTTGCTATTTGTTACATCCTTTATACTTCCCATTGCATACGTGTGCATATATTGGTAGTTGATTTGTGCTGATTTGTTATTTCATGCTGAACTGGGAGTGTAGGTTAAGTAGATTGATTTATGCGAACGATTTTATTAATTACGTGGCATCCAGCACCGTTTGTTGCTGTTTTACAATGAGATGCATATACCATAATATCGATGTACATAATTTCACAAATGGACGTGAGAAATGCATTTAAACTTTCAGTCGAAAAACATAAAGGAAGAGATTGTGTGGTATGGATTGGGAATAATATTAAAAATTAATTTTAAGGACACATGACATGAAGATGTGGACTGGATTAATCTGGCTCAGTGATAGGCTTATGGGACTACAATAGTAAACCATAACATTTGCAGTACCAGATGGTCAGCAGGCTGATGCTGTCTTTAATGTCCAAAACCTCATGTACTTTCTCATGTAATTAATATAGTGGTAAGGTTATATGCAGGACACAGAAAGATAAGATAAGCTCATTTGGTATATTTATACATTATAAACACACGTATACCATGAATGTTTGGAGACGGTCAGTATAGTGTCTGATGACTGGACAACCAGGGTTTTATCCCTGGCAGGGGTAAAGAATTTTTCTTCTAACCTCTTTGTTCAGGCCAGCTCTGGGATCACCCAGCCCTCCTATTCAATGGGTACTAATATACTAATAGTCCTTTCCCCAGAGGTAAAATGCAGGCTGGGTGTAACCACTTCCTGATCACTCTAGTGCCAAGGCTAGGAAATAGTAGGAGCTATACCTATATGTTTTAAGAAGCGATTAATACAAGAACATACATAAACTTTCTAAAATGTTTTTATATTCTTTACTTGATGGCTGTGTTTAGAAATATAACTCCCATAATTCTGGTTTATTTTTATAGGAGGCACAATGGATGATGATCCTACTTCCTTGAAAGACTTTTTTGTGGAGCCACAGAAGGGATTTTGGTTGGTGAGTGAAATGCAGTCTGTTCTGTGACCATGTCACTGTTGAACTGGAAACTAAATGTATGATTTTATGCACCTGTTCTTGGCAGTAAAAGTCTTCAGTATTAATCATTGTACCATGATCATATTCCATCCATCCTTAATTCTTAACACATTTATACTCAGAAAACATTAGATGATATGCAAGGTTTGAAAGTTGAATAATTGAATTCTATAAAGAGAAAGTAAATCTAAGTGCACACTGTCACTTGTTGAACCATCAATTTTATATAATTGTGGTAGCAACCATATCACCCATTGAAATGTTTTGAGGCATTAATTATGAATACAAACATGTGCTTGGCTGATGAATATGAGAATTTGATTGGCTAATTGCTGTTGTTGATTTTACTGTGGAGCTGAAGGTAATTTACTGCATTATTGCAGAGAAAACGTAAGAGAAGAAACAGTGATGCTGTTAGTATGTGTTCATTGGACCTAACTTTGGCTCCTGAGCCGGAGAACAAGAGGAAACGACGATTATCAAAAGTAGCTTCCCTAGCCAACTTGTTGTCCACACCAATGAGGCCTGTAATGAAAATTGGTGCCTCTCTTCAGGTTTGTCGTGCTGTAGAATTTTATTTACAGGTTTGTCATTCTATAGAATTTTCAAGCCAGGTTTGTAAACCTTTCCTCCTTGAATTGTCATGCATTCACGTTGTGATACTGCATAGTGATTCCTCTGGCAAATTAATTTTATTGTTATGCATTCTTTGCACAGAATGTACAGAATCATGTCTCTCTACCTGTCTGCATGTTACATCTCTGAAACTACTGAATAAATTTTTATTAAATTGGATACTGAGGAATCTGCACTCGAAGTTGTTGGATGAATATAATTTTGGTTTATGGTGGTCAAGTGTAACCCATATGTTTAATTAAGTTAAAATTAAAACTTTATTGATTTTTTTGAAAACCAGTTATGATACATATTATTTGTATGGCACATAGAAATACAGATCTTATTAAGATATATGACTTTTATTTGAACTGTTTTAATTATGCAGATTATTTAACAAAATATAACCACTGTCTGGAGCTGAGGTAGGCCAGTCAGTACACTGACTTAATATGACTGGTGGAATATAAAAATAAGAATACAAAGAAACTGTTTACACAATAAATGACACTAGTGTGTAAACCGTTTGTATACTTATCTTTATATTTTAATACACTACACTGTATGCAAAGTTTTAAGATGACTGGCTGAGCTAGTCCTTACCATATAAATTAGATTCCCATATTATTTTAACAAATCTTTGTGTATAATTTAGAGCCATCTTTTCATTACAAACTATTGACATGCAGTTCTATTAAATATATGCAGCGCTCTTTCGCTGGAGGCCGAATGGACTCTCCATCCACTTCTACTTCACCCAGGTCATCATCACCTTGTAATTTTCTTCAGCGCTCATGTAGCATATTAAGGACACCTGCCACCAACTCTCAGCAGATAGCAACGCTTCGGCATGCAAAACAGCGTCTGACACGTTGCTGGAGTCAAGCCATTGCACGAAATAATACCATGGAGCTTGGCTTGCAAGAAGTTAAACGTCAAGAGGTACTGTAAACTTCTGAGTTCTAAATATTTGTGTATAGTTGTTTTTTTGTCAGGGTTGAACTCCATTTCTGAACTTGGAATATTTCTTATAGGCAATATATGAGTTGTGGAGTGGCGAAGATGGAATTGTAGAAGACCTTGAGTTTGTACAGGATAAATACCAGAGCTCCATGATGCAACTTCATCTTCTTTCAGAAGAGGAAGCACAGTGTGTCTTTGGAGGAATAGACAACCTACTCAAGATCCATCGTTCCTTGCGCGATAATCTTGTTAGCCTCCGAAATTCAGCTGGTATCACTGAAAGTGTTGGTAAAACATTACTGAATTGGGTAAGGTCTTTTGAAAATTAAAAGCATTACAGAAAATGTTAAAAGTATATTTAAATCACACAAATGAATGTGAATACAAATTGAAATATGATTTCTTAGTTAACACTTTGAATACAACATTTTTTATGCTCTGTTTGGATGCTAAAATATTTGGGTATTACTGACTTGGAAGCCTGCCACTGGACCTTGTTCTAAGCCACTTCTTTCTTACTTCCTTAAGAACTATTTGAAAATGAAATTTTAGCTATGGGGTATCTTTAACTAGAATTTAAAATTGACAAGCAGCTCTTAGTAAAGTAATTGTGTATGCAGTTTAGGCTGTTGTAGAATTTTTTCCTTGGGAAACATGACTTCACCAAAATTCTGTATGTTTCTTGTCACACTGTTAGACATACTATCCACAGATCACGAGAAAAACCCTGCTGAGGGAAGTCGTTTCTGGTGCGGTGCGGGGGAAATGTTACTTATCAGCTGGACTAGAGGGCTGCTATTGGTGGGAAGTGTGATACGTCAGAGTTTTATGCTATTACACACAGACTGAAAACATCAAGCAGTTAAGAGTAGCGTGTAGTGAGTGCACCTCTAATGTGTTCTGCGGGTGTTGCGATAATATTCTAGATTAAATCAGTGTGCCGCTGTGAGGTAATCTTAAAGCTGTACCCATTAGAACACATGAAAACCTGTCGTCTGTTGTTCGTTCAGTGGTTGTGGAACGAATGCTTTTAGGGTCGGTCGTCACTCACCGCGAAATCTTGCGCATATATCAAATTCCTAGCAGGGATTTTCTCCTGATCTATGGACTGTACATTGTGCCTAACAAATCTATACACACTTAATTCACCTTTATTTTTTTTATGTAACATTGGATAAGATGGAAGATGATTTTCAGTGGTCATTTGGGAAGGAATAGGAATTAAGGTGCTGTTAATGAATGTTCATTGAGTGTCTTACAGAGTAGTCAGTTCCTTGAACAAAATTGAAACTGGTTATCTTCAGACACAAGTCAGATTTTGCTGATAGAATGTGGAACTATTATTTTGTTTGAATTATGAATCTATTCTATCTGCATATTTTAGGAGGGAATATTTTTTAATATTTTATAAGTTGTTGTATTATAACTTTGGAATTTTGTAATATACTCATATAATTGGGTATTTGTAGAAGAATATATGCATAGTTGTTTGAAAGTACACAGTTTTATCTGTTCATCATTTTTAAAACACTATGTTGTAACAGTTTCATTCATCTTACTGTGGAGAAAGGTTCTTTAGAGGTTAGTGTAAATTTCTGGGACCAAATAAAGGAAAATATCTGCAAATGACGCTAATCCATTGTTCAGATAGAATGCCATTTAATAATTGACATAGCCTAGCCTATAAATTGATATTTTCTTCTTGAAATATAAACTCTTCACTTCCTCTTTGAATGTTCTGTGCAATTTAAAGTTTATTATTTCATATGATAGATTCCAGGTCTTAACTGCTACATTGGGCACTGCTCAAATCAAGTGTGGGCTAGAGCACTATTAGAAGAGAAGAATATTAATAAACGTTTTCAGGAATTCTTAAAGCAATGTCTCGAATCTTCATTCAGTAGGAGATTGGATCTGTGGACCTTTCTGGGTAATGTATAATACATATCTAGCCTCTGATTTACAAATTTTACTGTCTGTTTTTCCTTGTAAAACTGTTTCATTAATTATGTCTGTGTTCTGGTTCCAAGATATTTTGTTGGATTTGTTTGTTTTAACAAGTATGAGTATAAATTGGACTCTAAACTGTTTTTAGTGTTTATATTGTAATTGTAAAAAGAATTAAATACTTCTGTGAGCTTTGGAAAAACAATAGTGACAATACAGCTGTGTATGTGTGGATTTGTAAAAGGGCAGCAGCATGCTGTAATATCAAGCAAATATCCTGTTTACCATACCTAGGGAACACATGTAATTGTGTACAATAGAAGGACAAAAATCTAGATCTCCTGTCTGAAGCATGCTGGATAAGCAATACAGTAGATTCCAGTTAATCAGGGCAGCCGTTTATTTGGGGCAAATCTTAAAGAACAAACCTTTTTAACTCTTTACGTGGAACTTTGCATAATTGGGCCTGAGTGTTCTAGTCCCAATGGTCCCAGTTAACTGGAATACACTGCATGTGATTTTGACCATTCCATTTAAGTCCTTTGTTATACTGTTGGATCTTCCTGATAGCATATTCAGGAGTATAATTTAAAGTTTTGGAATATGGGATCTTCTTGTTCAACTCCTTGTGGACTAGGAATATATGAGACAAATGTATACAGACATCATTAGACTTGTCCATAAACATGTTACCTAATTCGAGTTTTATGCAAAGATGAAATGTTCTTTTCATTTACGTCCACATGTTTCATCCCTGGAACTGCAGAGTGAATATTGATGAAATAATTGTTTGACATTCACTTGAATAGTATGCATTATTTTGGGTGGTATTTCAAGGACTCGGTCACAACAGTCATCCTTTTCAATTTTCAGATGTGCCACGATCCCGGTTGACAAAATATCCACTGCTAGTTGGAGAGATACTAAGGCATACACCAAGTGGCCATGAGGATGTAATCCCTCTGTCTAAAACTGCTTCAGCACTAACACTGGTGCTGCAGCAAACTGATGTTGCAATTGGTGCTGCCGAGTGTAGACTCGTGTGTACCAGGCTGCAGTTTCCACATGATCATTCCTCTAGGGATCTGGTTGATAAATGTACGGCAGTTCTTTGTTCTGGAGAACTTAAAGATCGTCGTGGAACAGTAAGGAAAATTGTATCTGCTGAAATTTGTTACTTTACAAATGATTTAATTTAATCTGTTTTGCTTGGTTTGTGGGTGTTTGAGAATAGTGCTGCGGAGAATATTTGAGAGGAAGTAACATCAAGATGGGAGGAAATTACGAGGAGCTTTGCAGTCTGTGCTTTTCACTGGGTGTTATTAGGGAGATCAAATCAAAGAGGGTGAAATAGGCTGGAAGATGAGAAATGTAAACAACATTTTAGTCAGGTATAGTGAGATTTCAGGTTGTTGTGGCAATGAGTATGAAGGTGGTTGTCTTTTGGTATGTTGCATCATGTAGTCGTGGAGATGTTGACTGATGTATCAGAGGAGCATACTGCATAGGTGGGAGGGCAACATTAAAATGGTTCTTAAAGAAATTGAGTATGAATGTCTTGAATTGAATTAGCTCAGGATTAGTTTCAGTGATGGGCTCTTTTGAACGCAGTAATAAACCTTTCAGATTCCTTAAAAGGTGAGTAATTTCTTTATCAGTCAACTGAGTGGCAGTCAGTTTCTCAAAAAGTACTCTAGCCTGTAGAGTTGATATTCAAGCCAAATACTGCTGAATATAAATAAGTAAAACATTTTTGTTGCATGAAAGACAGAGAATTTGTGACTAGCTGAATCATTATCAGCTTCTCAAGGCATGTTCTACTTGGAGATATGTTACTGTGCAAGAAGTAACTGCCAGTGTTAAATTGGAACCTGTCCGGAATGAAGCATGTTCAGGTTGCTTGGAATTCTGTTCTAAAATCTACTCCATTACTTATGAACTATGACTGTGATCTGTATCATATCTTCCTATATTATGTTAGATCTCTAAGGAAAACACTATTCCATTCATTTCATATAAGTAATTAACATGGAATTGCTTTTGTTTTACAGAAATTTAATTGCTTCTTGTTTGATAAATGTTTTGTTGTGACTCGCATCTGCCGCCCTTCAGTTAAGTTCACTGTATGTGCTCCTATTATACCAGCAGAGCAGATTACTTTTGAGGAAGTTGAGCTGAGGGGAAGGAGTGCAGGATCTGAAACAGCTCGTACTGGTGAGTCTCCTATTCATCAGTGGTTCAGTCTGGCAAACATATTATAGCATGTTTTATTTATATTATTATTGGTTAATGTTATTAAAGGAACTGGAAATTTTTATCATAAACATAGAATTCTGTGTTATTATCTATAATAAGTTTTCTGGTCATTTGAAAGGACAAACTGATTTCATATATAAAGAGTTATTTGTCAGTGTGTATTTCATTAGCATTTTAATTCAAAAGCTCTTTTACAATAAAACTTAAAGGAAAATTAATTTTCTGGAATATCTGCAGGAACAGTAAAATCTAATTTTTGTTCTCATGCTACCATTCACTTTTTCTCATCTTGTATCCATGAACTTTAAGATTAAAATAATTTTACCTGTTGTTACTCTCACCTTGTGGGAATAAAATGCAATTGAGGGTGCTTAAGAACAAATTACTGAGGAGTAAGTATAAGTGTGAGGAGGAGGCTCAGAAGTATAAGGAGTTTCATAAATTTAATTCTCTGCCTGTTACTAAGGTGATAAATATATGGAGGATGATATGGGCGTGACATGTAGTGCACATGGGAGAGATTAAAAGTTTTTGTAAAGTATTAGAAAACTAGCAGGGAAGAGACTTTGAAACATACAGGTGTAAGTGGGAGGCTTATATTAAAATGGCTCTTAAAGGAATATGGTATGAAGGTGAGGACTGGATTCAGGTGGCTCAAAATATTTTAGAGATGTGAACTCCTGGAACATAGTGATGAATCTTGGGTTTCAAAAATGGAGGGAATTTCTTGACCAACTCAGTATCAGCTCTTCAAAAATGACTCTGCTCAGTGAAGTAAAAATGAAACTGTTTTCTTCAGGCCAGGCTGCTTTCCGAGTAGGATTTAAAGATGCTGCTGTTGGAAGTCATCGCATCTTTGCTGCCACCAATGAGCACGTTAGAAAACACTGGATGTATTGCATGAAACAAGTGACATCTTCACAGGAAAACATCAAAACAAAAAGTTCATCTCCACCTGAAGCCAAGAAAAAGATTAAATCTGTTGTGCCTTGTAAATGTATGAATAAGTCTGTGTTGAATGGAAATAATTCTCAGTTTACCCGTCCATTCAGACAGCGAAATAGGGTAAGTAAAAGTGTTACAAGAGATAATCTTGTCTGATACTGTATTCAAAGCAGATTATCAGGAAATGAAGTATTTTTGTAAGATACACATTTATTGAATGTGTCAAAGTATTTCTGCATAGTATATTTAATGAAGTAGCTAGATATACTCATAATTTACAGTTGGTAGTTTACAAACTTCACAAATTTTCACTTTTACATTTGTTATTCTGATAGTTTTTTAGTATATTTACAGTATTCACTTCATATTATGGAAACATACTGATATGTTTTGAATAGATTCTCTGGAATAATTTTTTTGCCTTTATTTTGCTTTAATGTTGTTGAAGAGTAGTCAGTCACTCAATTTATAACATCTTACTTGGCAAAGTTTTGAATTTAGGTAGTTTTGGACTTCAATGCTGTTAATCTTTATTATGCAGGAATAGGGGGTAAAGACCATGTAATATGGGGCTACCAACTTTTCCAGGGTTTATAGTGTAGTTGTATGCTTGGAATATGTGATGGCAAATGGCCAATAAAGGTTAAAATAATTCCAGAATGATATGAATTTTAACTCTTTTTGCATAGTCAAATTCACAGCAGGCAGCAGCAGTATGTGTCAGTGCATTATTGCTGATCATTCTCAATCTGAATTTGTCTACCAGTCGTACATTTAAATGGCAGAAGTCTGGAATGCAGAATATCCAGAACCTCAAATTTTTCAAAGTACTTTTCTGGAAGTATTACTAGATGGAGTAGATACAGATAAGTACAAATATGACTTGGCAGGATAACTACAGTAAACTGTTAGCAAAGTTGTCAGAATAACATTTTATCAAATAATACACATGTATTTACTCTTGCAGTATTAATTCAATTTGTTTTTTTCATTTGAAAGAATGTTAATGCTTAAATGGTTTTCCAAAAGTCCTTTCTAAAGTATTATCACATTACCCTGAATATTTTCAGGTGTTTCAGAATGTTTCCATTTCAGAGAATATTAATGTTGCTAATGTGAATTGGGTCAAGTCTGGCAAGTATGTGGGCCTTCCAATACTGTTATTTGTTTTTTGGCTAAAACTCACTGTACTGGAAGTGCTATGTTGGAAGGAGCATTATCATGATGCAAAAACTATTTATCCAACCAAAGGTTTGGTATTTTTCTGTGAACATGCCACTGTAAGTGTGAAAGTAATGTTAATTATGTATTTGTTTCGGGGAAACAAATGGTTAACGGATAATTATTTTGATGTTAAAACAAGTTATAATTCTGGTGTACTTGCCAGATTTTATTCTTTGCCCTGTAACCAAGGTAACCACTGCTGCTCACCAGATTTTAACTCTCCATGTTAACAGTTCAGAGGTATGCTAGTGTGATGTACAACTTATTGGACCACACGTCAGACATGACACACTAACTAACTAACTAACTAACTAACTAGATGGCTTACCGAACCCGAAGGTTCATCACCGAATTAACCAAAGCCCTCCACCGGACCCTGTCCTGGGCCAACAAAATCCAGTTTCCTTCAACTCCTATCTCCCATAGTAAACACTTTAATGAACTGTTTCCACAAAATATGCGTGTCTTATCGATAAGCTGAGGGATTACGGCGTCCCAAGACGTACTCTTCCATTGAATTACGACACGACAGCAAAGTTCAAATACGTCCTTTTTCCTCCTCTTGTTATCCGGAGACTGGAAAATGGAGTATCCACAGCAAGTTTATGATATACAACTTTTTAAAAATATGTGATATCGCTACTTTCTCCACAAAATTTAAGTTTCTAACGCGGAGAATAAGAAGACTTATGTTTTTTGGGATGCTGCGCCGTGTCTGTTAGAAATTTACCGACGTATCAGAGGTTCATGCTTAATACCACCCAGTCTTGTTTAACTAACTAACTAGATGGCTTACCGAACCCGAAGGTTCATCACCGAATTAACCAAAGCCCTCCACCGGACCCTGTCCTGGGCCAACAAAATCCAGTTTCCTTACACTCCTATCTCCCATAGATCCCGCCTGAGATTATCCTCCCATTCAGACATGACACACAGTCAAAAAAAGTTAATTGTTACTAACAGTTTGTGAGGCCTGTATTTGTAACTAAATTTCACTGATAGGTCTACATGTAATGTAGCCAAGATATACTTACTCATGTAACAATTGTAATGTGTAATTTTAACTCTCAATACATTTCTGGCTTTTATATATTTTAACATTTTATGTAATTAAGTTGCATAAGAGGTGCTGTATTTTGTATAAATAAGGTCTCATGATGGCATGCAGTTGATGCGAAAGCATGAAACCTTCAACACTGATGTATTTTGTAACAAGTTGTTTTTTATCACAGAAATAAAAATAATCCAGCTGTTGTGCTGTGTTTCTACTGTGAAAGATCTGTGGAATGGAAATGAATTGTTCTGTTTATTTCAAACATCACCCCAGACATTTCATCTAGTCAGTGCTTTTTGTTTTATAGGAAAGCTTTAACTATTTTTATGATCTCATGTTTTGAAGAAAGCTTGTCAGTACTACCTGCCTCCACAATAACAAAAAGCATGTGATTGTTCGGTTAAAAGTGTTTAGAAGTGAACATAGTTGAAGGTCAGTTGAACATAAAAAATTGTAGGAGGTACAATATAAAAATGGTTTACGTTCAGGAATGAGGTCGGAAATGTGTGAATATCCATTTGTTGTTATATTTGCGGAAATGGTGCGTGAATCTTCTCAGTAACCTACTCGTTTTCCATTATTGGGCAATTTTACTTTTGTGCTGTCTGTATGTAAACAGATGTTTTAACAAGACCGCTTTGCCACATTCTGTTTGGAAGAGGAAGTGCCAGTTTTTGCATGTAACTTGATCGTATGACATCTTGACCTAGTTTTATGTAGCGTCAAGGTTTGGTTATCTTCTTGTTTTATTTTAAAGATGCAGTGAGAGCATTTCATTGCTACATATTTTAACACTTTTGTACATATGGATTTTAAATAATATCTTTATGGACTAAGATTAAAATTTTTGTTTTTTGACCATTACCACGCCCACTTTCATTTTTGAACTCATTCATCACATGCCATACCGGCCGATGACATCATTGATAATTATATATTCATACGCGGAAGACCTAGACAATTTTAAAGTCGGTAAACTTAAAGACGTATTTTTAAGTGTGTAGTTTTTATAACTATTTTGAAAGTACACTTCACTTGAATATTTGATAAGTGGCAATTTGTCAGTATACAATTTAATTATGAACTAACTTGATTTGCGGAGCCACGCGGTTTTACAGCAGACGATAGATGGTTGCGCGTTGGTCGGGTTGGGTAGATGAAGTTTGTTGTCGGAGTGGTTATAGTAATAGTGTCTTATTAAGGGAATTAAACATCGTGTGATAAATTTACTCTATCTGTTTCAAGAAGGAAGAGGTAAGAGATTCGAAGTGTGTGATTTGTTTAATAATTTTATGATATTTGAAGGTTTGGCCTGCTGTACGTACTGCTGCCAAATTAGGCCTTTACACCCTCAATTATGCTGTTGGACTGTATAGTAACTATTTGATCAGCGTCGAGAATTCTTAAAAGATGATACACTCTAGGTGTTGCTAAATTTATCTACTACTGCGTAGACGAAACAATTTAATTGGCTTTCGGTAGAAAAAAATGTTTATCACAGCCACTACAGAAATACATGTACATACTGTTCCAGAGGTAGATATGCATGCAGGTATTTAAAGCTGAGGAACTGAGGAAAACCATAAGCTTTAGGAATTACTTAGCTCTCTATATCTCGAGTTTTTGTATGATATGCTGTATTTTAGAAGCAAAGATTCTCCTGAACTTGCGGAGACAGTTAACTACTATGAGATTTCAATAGTTGAATTGTTACATTCATTCAGAATAGTGGATTGAAGGAATTAAGCAAAATAGTGCATATCTACTTATTTTATCTAGTTCTAGTAAGTCTTAGTATCTAACTTGGTCTCTAGTATTTAACTCTCAGTCGAAACCAATACTTTTTTTTTCCTTTTGCAGATGATACTAATATTATTATTTCACATCTATTAATTGACTGTTTAAAAATTTGCATGAATGTTGTTTTTGCTAGCTTGAACAAATGAATTAAAGCCAAACAAAAGAAATTGCATGAAATATTTTGCTTCTGACAAAAATTGTGATTACTGATCACTTTCCTAGAAGTGACATTATGTCAATTGGAGAGAGTGCTTATGTTCTCTAAAATTTTCTAAAGTACAAATAATAATGAAAAATGATTGTAGTTTATTAATAGTTTATGTGTATAGGAGATTCATCAGCTGAGTTATTCTTCTTATCATGAAGTTGGGCCTGTAAATGACCTGCTTTGAATATAACTATCTTCTGGGATTTTGCACCTTGTAGTCTGGTAGAAACTGAAAAATGTTTCAGATATGCTTATTGCATCTGTCATCAGGGTGATAAGTAAATTGACCTGAAGTTGGAGGCAGTAACCACCTCTGAAATGTTGGCCACTTTCTGCCAAACTGCATAGTTCAACATCATAGAAGACAGTTGTCTTTATACTGACTGCTGTGAGAACCTGAAATCTCACAATGACTGTTTTGGCAACCATTTGGTTGTCTGTTCAACCCTTTAAAGTCCTCTGATACCTGTATTCAATAACTGCACTTTTCCTCACACTGTATTTTTGGGTTTTGTATGATTCACTGATTAAACCAATTATTTCTGTAAACAGCATTAATTAGTTCATATTTGTATTGTATCTACTTTGGAATACCAACTGAATCTTTATATATTATTAGATGGATTTGGGCTACAAAATGTTGATGTGTTGTCCAAGGGGTCTATTATCAGGAAGTTGTTTTGGTTGTTGACCACACCCTTGTAGATGGTATGACTTAAAATGCATTATTTCAGTGCTTCCCTGAATTGTTTACTGTTGGTGGATAAATTTTTAATTTTGTGGGAGAGCTTGTATAATTTTACTAGTAGACTCCTTTTTGGTAGACTATAAGGTTGACATGTGGTCTGTGTAGATCATGTTTTTGCCATGTGTTGAATGCATGAATCTGTGTCTGAGTTTATTAGTTATAGATGAGGGCCTTGCTGCCTCCATCAGGGCTTTGATGATGGAGGCAGAAAGGACCTCTGAAACGTTGGTAAACTTCTACCAGACTACATGACATAACAACTCAGAAGACAGCCATATTCAAGGTGTTTTGTGTTACTCACAGTGTTGAACAAATTTTTGATAATGAAAAGCAAGTAAACCTTTCTTGCACCTGTTCCAAGTATGCAAGGAATGAAGTTAGATGTTAGTTGTTTTATATGAATATGAAAGTTGATCTCTTAACTTGAGGGAAACTTTTTTTAGAAAGGCTGAGGAGAATATAGGATTGTTTGATCATTGATTAAGTTAGACAATTTGGTTTCAGATTTTTTATTGAGTGTATACTGCATTAGATTCTGGAGTGCGTGTGTTCTATTTTATGGAAAGATATTTTGTAACTCAACAAAACAAATGTAATGTAATGTCTGCAATTGAACTAGTGCTTTGATAATGTTGACCCTGTTTAAAGTGTAGGCAGTTCAACCTGACTCCTTAGAGGATGTGCAGGATGCCCCCCCCCCCCCCCCCCCCCC